ATACAAAAATGTGCAAATATAAATGAAGTGTGAAAACAAAGTTATAAAATTCACAAATTATTACTGAGATCGATCAGAAATAGTAAATGAAGTATAAACATTGTATACGTTTTGTTCTAAATAGACCTTCATTTAGATGAAAGCAAAATAAGTATTAAAAAAAAAAAACCAAACCCACAAATCTAGCAACCCATTACTTTGGAATTGCGTCCAACAAACATGTAAATTTTACTGCATCCATGGAGGGGACTAACGACTTTTCTCATTAGGAAAATGTCAAAGAGGGGGCAAAAGTGTTTTGAACCGCACCGGTCTGAAGGCTATATTATGAGAATTTCGGCCCGGTTTTAGAAGGTCAAGTGACATTTTTACAAAAATCAATGAATTAAATTTAACCCTTCATAAATAAATATATTTAATGGTCACCAGGGTTCGTACACAATTCTGCACACTGAAATTAAGTACTTTTAAGGACCCTTAATGTAAAAAATTAAGGATTTATGAGCAAATGTGAAATGAATAAATTCAATTAAAGATATTATGTATGCCTGAATTTCACTTACCATTCTGAAAGTAAAATAGATCCCTAAGAAGTGGGCATTATTACTAAACATGAACTAATGAACATAATTATAATTAAGTTTGAAAATAAAATAAACTTTATGCAATTTATCAAGTAGCATTAAGTATTTTACACTTATAATAGTTGGTCATATTTGAAAGAAGATAAGTGGCATTTACGTTTTACTAACAGTTAGCTTTATGTTGATTTTTTTTTTTATGTCTCATTTTGTCACATACTTGGTCAGTGTAGTGTTTGAGTAAATAGCAGGTAGGTATTTTTTATGCCCAAACTGGCATAGGTTAAAATGAGAAGTAAGACCATAAACAGCATGATTCATAACAAAAGACTGAATGTTGTCACCGCTGCTGCTTGTCTAGAGAGAGAACTGCTGATTAGAACAAACCTGAAATGGCCTGATATAGGTTCACAAGCGTTGAAAGTTAGTCAGGCTTGTTTGATGCAGTTAGTGTCATAGCTTTGTGTACAGTTTCATGGGTTGTAAACCAGTTAAGTCTCAGTAGATGCATAGAATATGTTTTACTTGAATTTTTACATTTTTATATTTTATCTTGTGAACACAGTGAGTATTAATGAAAGGCAATAACTCACTTTAATATGTAAAGATAATTTTTAAGGGTAAGCAGTTAGTTATAAATAATTAAATTAGGTAGTTTGAAACCTTAGTCATTGTGGATTTACATGACCACTATTAAATTTTATTTTTTAACAATATTTGTTAAAAAAGCCCTATTAAAATCAAAATCTAATAAAATTTCACAGTTTAAAATACATGTACATGACACAGATTCTTAAACAATATTAAGATAATTAAACATTAATTAAGACATTAAGATAACAACAACAGTCAACAAAATATTTATCAGTCATTTTAATTTGAAGCCTTCCCAGACATTTTGGCTAGTTTATATTGATTTCCTTCTCTTTTAACGATCTTTTCTAACAATTAGGGATTGTCTGAATACGCAAACCAATGCTCTCGCTATTTTCTGCGTGCTTTATCTCCTAACTTGTCGACCTCTCCACAATGTACCTATGAGGGTTTAATTGATCAGGTAAAAGTTAAATAGTCCAAAACCCCGACAGATGTGAAGCATATTATCACTATGTCTGAAATTAACTGCAATATGAGACAAAGGTTTAAAAAAGCCTTTTATTTAAAAAGAACTTAGAACATAAAGGCATGCTCTGATGCTAACAAAATCAATTACAGCTCACGGTCATGTAATTAAACATGAACAGTCAAATTCAAATAATGTGGATTAGTGGTCAAAGATTATACAATTTATTTTTAATTTAATCTGGCTCAATAACTCTTTCATATGAGGAAATAGAAATGGAAAATTATAGTAAAGGTTGAAATCATAAACAATTGGGAAATTTACGTAATAATAACTGCACATATCTTTGAAGAATAATTTTCTGTATGTACTCAATTTGGATTTAATTAAGAATTTCTGTTATTCTAAAAAGAAAAAGCGGCTAATTTTATATCTTTAGTAATATGAACATTCAGAAGAAATACGAAATGCATATGGTAAAGGCCGGCTGCAGAGCTGCTGTGGCAGAAATTTTAGAATTTAGTGACACACCGAACAACAAAGTCTAGAAATGTCAAAACTTTTAAAATTTAGAGCAAGCATTTGAAGCACAATTTAGAAAGGCAATAGGCAGCAAAATTTAGGATCCACAGAGATTGCATCAGGTGCGAAAATGCCTAGTGCCAGCTTTCTGTATGATGCATTAAGACATCTTAGGTGAATCTTTTAAAGTGTTAAGTTTTCAATTTCTTTATTAATAAAAAAATTCCTTTCTATAATGCCTGCCCATTTGATAAGATTAGAAGCATTTTTAATATCTTCCATGCTTGTGTCTAGTGAAAATTACAGAAAATAAAGAGAAGATAAACATGTTAAGATTCTAGTATCAGAAGTAAAACATTCAAATATTATGTTTTCATTGTTCTTCCAGATGTTTTCCAAAAAGTAAGAAATTCATTGCAAACATTCTGCAAAATGCATCCATTACATGCTGATACCATGGAGACGTTTTTCATTTTGTCATATATTTCTCAAATCTTCTAGAATCGTCGGTCTATAAATCTTGGCTTCAAATCCTTCTAAACTTTCCAAGCTGCAATGTCTAAAAATACTAAAGAAAAATTATCCCTACCATTTCTGTAACAGCAAAAGCCAGAAATGTTTTCGGAAAAAAAGGGAGGTACAAACGTGTAAAATTAATTTTATAGAGAAAACTGATTCATATTCTGAAAATTTTGAATATTCTGAGACAATTACATGGAAAAAAAACTCTTACTGTGAAAAAATTTAAAAAAAGACATTTTATTTTGCTTTTGCTAAGAGCTGTTTCGTAAATTGTGCTTTATAGCATCATAGCTTGTTTATTTTTCAGATTCAAAATATTGTATAATAAGTTGCCAAAATGAAACATTATAATATGTCAGCAAAAAATAAAAATGTTTTATTTTAATGTTATTTTTTAAATATAATTTCAATATATTATTACCATTATTTTAATGAAATTTATCAATGTTACGATGTTTTAAAAAAAAATCGTCGAAAAATTCTCAGATCTTGGAATTAAAACATTTCTATAGAAACTAATTTTAAAATTGCCAAAATGTTGAAAAGTCGCCAAATTTAAAACCATTTAATAAAAGAATTCACTTTCCCAAAAGCGAAAAGTTGTTTAAGAGCTCTTTGCCAGAAAAAATGAATTTCGAAATGCTTATGTTTAACTTCTTGCTTAGAAACTCGAGTATCTGATCATTTGTATTAGAAATAGAAACAAATTATAACTCATGTACCCATTAAAAAGATAAACATATATGCGGCAGTGAATCGCCAAAAATATTCCTCAAAATGCTAATTCACACTCAAAATGAGTCGTAAAAACAAACAGAAATTTCAGATGATTAAAATTAAGGACATTCTGCTGATTTTGGCCAAAATTAAGGACTTTTAAGGACCAAAAATTGATTCCAAAAAATCTAAGGACTCTTAAGGACCGTAGGAACCCTATTCACAAAAAAATTTCAGGAAAAGATTGGACAATTTGTGTACACTCCAGTGACTTTGATTACTTCCCAACAATAAAAGGCTTTTCATTCAAAAGAAGGAGTTGAAACAAGGGACACACTTATCGAAGAAATTATTCAGCATCTGAAAGGTTTAAGTGAAGTTTTTAATTAATATTTTCCAAACGAATAATGGCCCACCAGTGGCCGAGCGATAAAATTCACTGAACACTGGTTGGTCCAGAGTTGAAATCATGATGAATAGGCTGGTTGCATGGGCGCCTTCGTGGTTTTGCTTCGTTAGTAATGTATATACGAACCAGTTTCCCTTGCAAAGTCCTCCACAAAGGCAGCCTTCTTTGCCAAAATCAAATAAACCAAACCAACCAAAGGAATAACAAGATGAATTGCAGGTGACAAACCCATTTATTGTCAATGCATGACCTTCGACCATGTCAGTAGCAGAATACAAAAATTTTATTGACATGACATGCAAGAAAAATTTAAATTAATGCCATTAGTGGAATTCTGGTGCAGTTTAAAAGATGAATATCCTCAGCTGTCACAAAAGGTCATGTTGACATTTTTACCATTTGCAACTACAAGATGTGTGGTGTAGGATTTTCAGCTTTTTTGAATGTGTTACTTTAAGAACTTTTAGATTAGTTTTGAAATTACTTTTTGAAGCAATCTTTATTGGATGAATATTTTAATAAATAATAACTGTTTTTGAAATAATTAAACAAGGTTTCTACATACTTTTCCCCTTCATATATAAAATCTATTTCCAGTATTTTAAAGTTTTATTCGCTTACAATGCTTCAGGACATTAAGTAGCAGATATTATAATCTATAATTAAATTAACATACAACACGATTGATATATCTCACTTCTATTTCAGCATTTTTTTAACAAACTCCAAGTGTCTTAAATAGGGTAAATCCATTACGTGAATCAATAATCACCATCAACAACAGACATCTTCTATAACTATTTGGGATCATGACTGATTGTCTTAGAATTCACTATATTTTACTCTAAGAAAATAAACCACATGTCAAATAACAGTAGCGAATAAACAGCCACATGCCAAGGGGTGTAATAATCGACTATTGATATTTCTTAAATTAACTTCAAACATTCAGTATTTAAGTTTTTAAGATATTACCAACAATGAAGATATAAAATTTCTAATTAACATTTCCAAAATGTAATGTTCCACTTAGCAAGAGAAAAATACACTGAAGAATAATTCAAAAGCAAAGTGAAAATGAATTACTATCACTTGTATATAAACCTTTAAAAAAGGGGGGGCACGGTTATTTTTGAATGACATAATTAACTTTAATAAAAACATATACAAAGCTCAAATTACTTACTTTTACTTGCAAAGCATTTCTCATCATTCTCGTATTAGGAAAATCTATTACATCATATTCAGAATATGATACTGTAGACTTTTTTAAAAGAGTTCCCACAAAATAACCAACTTCATTTCCAAACAAACAATGATAATTAGTCAGATGAGTTAAAAAGTACGCTGCTGATTCAGGAACAACTTCTTGTAAGAACACAATATCAGCCTGCTCACTGAAAAGAAAAGTGCAAATATTATGAATAACCACTAGCATGTCAGAAAAAAATTCCTTTATGCTGCTATAAATCATCTTAAAACAAATATGTGTCATTCTATAAATCTTTTTGGGAGAAATATGATTAACACAAATTTTAAGCCACTTTGAAGAGCAACGGCATATTTGAAATCTAAATCTATAGGTAGCATGTGCTAAATTGGAAGAGTCAAAACGACTTTAAACCCCCAACATGTAAAAGAACTTTAAAAAAAAAAAAAAAAAAATCTCATGTGTACACCACATGACTTCTTTGTACAGAATATTAAATTATACGCATTTTTCTTGCATTTAATTTAAATTTATTGCATTGAATTAAATCTACTTGGTCGATAGTGCATAAACCACAATAGAATAAATGCATTCTTTAAAACTCCTTTTGTTTACCATAGCGACACTCTGGTGCTAGGTTTACTTAACAGTATTATATTTCGTTCATATTATAACTCAGAATGCACAAAATTTATATCATTTAAAGAATTATCTAATCGTTGCCACATGTTCTATTCAAATACTATAATACAGCTAGAACTATGTATAAAAAGAAATTAAGCAAACAAAACAAAAAAGAAACAGTTTTTCACAGACAATTGAGTATTTCTCATTCAATTAAATCAGTTTTCACTTCGTGACAAGGCAAAAATACATAAAAACTCAAAATATCTGTATTAAAAATTACGAAGTAAATCTTAAACGCTTATTTCCTCGAAAAAATTCCAAAAAGGATTAAGCACGATTTAAATAATAAATGAAGGCGTTATCTTTGTTGTTGCGAAGCTAAGTTTCTCTAGATTGGCAACAAATCCGCTACTCAGCTGTTTCAAATGTAAACAAGAGCAATGGCCACCATCAAATTAGGCTTAGCGGCACTTAAAATTGTTGATAATTCTAAAAATATTGCATACAGATTTACTAAAGGCATAAAACCCTTAACCGAAAGATAAAAACAACATATTCAATCATTTTTAAAGCAAAAAATGTACAATTTACAAACATATAAGAGTAAAGAAACTGAGATCACTGAGCCGGGTATTTATAAATATATTTATATACGTTTGGCACGGCCGATTGAAACCAAAATACGAGGTGCACATCTACATGTTATAGTAGTCTTATATACCAAATTTCAACGTTCTGTGGTGACTCATTTTTGAGTTAATGCGAGATACGTACGTACATACTTCATACAAATGCCACGAAAAATCCTCTTCAGAATTCATTTTAAAGCAGTTTTTTTGGAGGAAAAGAGACTTTTATTTTGTCCTTACGTACAGATATCACACAAAAACATCGTTAAATTGCATTCGAAAGCGGTCAAAGTGGATATTTTCGTTGAAATATGCTGCCTGGAGCTTTTCGCGATTACAATACTTCCTTTTTACTTCGTACAAGGAAGTAAAAAGGATGCTTTATATATAAGCAATCCTTTTACTACAGAATACTAAAATATAAAGTTGTCAATTATAGTAACATTACTACAGCAGTAGGTGCCAATTATCTGTAATTATTCTGTGTGCATCTGTTAGGTTTATGCATTGTGTACAGTACACAGAATTTAATGCCCAACTACAAAATTTCTGAAAATACTGTCAGGTTTTTCAAAAAGATTTGTTTTCAACCCTTCACAATTCAAATTTAGAATATTTTGAAAAGCTGAAATGATTCTTTTACAGATTTTTCATACATATTCTCATTTAAATAATTAACTCATTGTGACAACAACCTATCTAATGGTGCAACAATTTCACTTTTTGAACAACTGGACAGACCAGAGAATCCTCCAAATCTCAAACTTAATGGTACTTCCTTATTAAAGGTGCCACTGAAATTAATAGTAAAACTCGACAGACTTAATTGCCTAATTTATAACATGAAGATTTTAAATATCACCAAAGACCTATGCAATGGCTGCTTTAATAAATAAGTATCATTAACATTTATTATTCCTTTTTAAGGAATTTTGCTACAATTGATTATTTTAAAAAATAATTGTATCTGGATAAGTTTTAAATTTCCACAATGAAAAATTTAGATTTTACATAGTTTAAATTATTTAAAGATTATGAAACCTACCCTTCACTCAATTTTAAAACAAGAAAATTAATACTTGTTAGTTTTTACCACTGACCAAAGTGTCATGGAAAAAATGCCACCAAATTAAATGTTATCCCCCCCTGTCCAAAAAAGAGCTTTTAAGAAATAGAATTTTAATGGAAATGTAAGAAATAAAGAATTTTACTTCCAAAAATACAAATTTCTACTTAGAAAAAAAGGGGAAAAAGAAATTCTGAAATGTTTCAGATTTTAAATTACGTCCAAAAGGGTGTTTTTTTAACATCTTGTGTGTTGCATCTATTTATTAAATATCACGTTCTTCACATTTCAACCATAAAATTCAGTTCCAACAGCAATATCTAAAAATAGTTTTAAAATGAGCATATCTTTACAATTTCTGATACAAAGACCCATGCGCTGGAGATAAAAATGTTTTTTCTGTACAACATTGCCATTGCTCGCTTTGAAATCCTTAAGTTTGTTAGTCAAAATTCGTTAAAGTTTTACAAAATAGGAAATCGATAATTAAACAAATTCCAAATTTCAAATTTAGTCTTCCACATGCCCATATTTGTAGGAGGATTACGTCATTCAAAATTCGATGGCTCTATGTACCCTTGTTTTATCACAATGCGAGAAATATACATATATGTATGCAGATTTTTCCTTTCTGTAAAGGCCCTTATTTTCGCATGCCGCAATTTTCGTGAAAATGAATATATCAGTGATTTCGCGAGCTGAAAATTTCGCGAATTTTATAAGAACAGAACCAAAAGTTGAAAAATTTCAAAAGTACCTAAGTAAAGTTGAAAAAGTTGAAAAATTACAAAAGCATAAAGCATTTTAAGAAACTTCCTTTTGTCTGAAAAGTTCGTCCCCTGCTGGTTCCCGTCTAAATGGCGAGTTCAAGTGTTTGCTCAAGAATGATTTTGTTGAGTGGTATTCTAATGAGCTTCAGTTTCTAGAGAAAAAAGAATCTGTGGACTTGCGAATATCATGACTAAAACCAATTCACGCTCCTTGGCTTGTGCGTGTATTTAACGGTATTGAAGCCAAACATGAGATAATTTTTGAATGGCTTCAAAGAAGCTGGTATAAATAGTATTCTAAGAGAATGAGCTGCCTTGTATTAATTTTATTGTTTTATATTCGAGAAATATAGTTGTATATTATTCAAAAAATAGTTATAAGAAAGAAAGTTGTCAAGAAAAAGCTTGTAACTGTGCAATAAATCATTAAATTTTGGGTGAGTGAAAAATTTCTGATTTTGTACTATTATTTGAGGCGGGGAAAAAAAAAAGTATTTCGCAAAGCTTAAATTTTCGCGATTATGAAGGGCTCACGAAAACCACGAAAATTAAAGCCTTGCAAAAATAAGAGCCTTTACAGTATTTAATTTCCTTAAATATAACACAGGGCAATAATACTTTGTGGCAACAATTTGAAAAGTGATTTGCTGTTTGTAGTGAATCGATGCAAAATGAAAACAATAGTACTTCAGGGACAAATCCCTTTGGATTAAAAAAAAACAAAAAAAAACCAGTAATTTATTTTTCAGGTGGCTACGAAATGGCTACATACTGCTACATAGAATGTATTTTTGAAGCAGCAAACCCGCTGCTCATGTGAAGGGATTTCTTTTTCTGGTGATTTTTTTTATATTGCATCTGCATTAATTTCATTTCATTCCTATTTTTGCAAATTTGCATACACGGTAAAATACTTGTTTCTAGGAAAAATGGAATGGCTTCATTTTCCTTTAATGACAAATTGGAAATTGCCATCATTTTGAATCTCAGTGTGTGTGAAGGAGGAGAAGGTACTTCATACAAAATGGAATTTTTTTGTTTTTGTTTTTCAATTCTTATTGCTTGGTTTTATATTTATTATATTATTTAGAAATAAACACCAACAAAGCTGGCGTTTAATCGCTGGTTGCCGGTAAAACCAACAATTACCGAATAACCAATTAAGCAATTTTATAAAATGCCTTTTATTGTAGTATAAAACATCATGATTTCTCAGCAGGTTTAGTTGGATGCTATCTAAGAGATATGATGCCATTGTGGAGGAATTTTTTTTTTAAACTAGCTTATATGCACATTATGCAAAGGCAAAACCATGAAACCTTCAATGTAGCCAGCTTGTTCACCAAGACTTGAACTCAGGTCAAACTGTGGAGGATAACATCTCCCAAGTAGTAAATAACTTGTTGGTATTTGAATGATTCATTAATGCCTGTTCTCTATAGCATGCTTAAAAGTATACAAGCCCAGTCACTTCTTCATACTGACACAACAGCAGCAGTAGTGACTAGTAGAGCCACAATAGACTACTTTAAACAGCACCAGATCTTTCAAGCTTCTAAATGGAGCTGCAGTATAGACTTGTCCAGTTTCTGATTCACGTATGAGTGTCCTAAAGGAAGGAAGGCCAGCTGACCCAACAAGGAATACTTTACTTTCAATCATTATAGAATAATCTAATGTTATTGTTTTGTTAATTAACGACAGTTATCCTTCAAATTTTCTTTGGTTATGTTACTTTCTTTGGTTATGTTCTTGTCACATAGCCACATAATAGAAGATGTGTGTGAAGATATCAACTGTGAAACAATATGGAAGATAATGACAGAAGATCCAAGGAAAATGATAATTTATGGAAGGCTTGTGTTCACTTTTTGATTGAACAGCAAAAACAAAATCTGGCACTTTTACTATAAACCATCAACAGAAAGTCAAACATGGAATGGAAGAAGATTTGCCTCCTGAAATCAAGGACCAAGACAATGTTGATTACCTCTTTTGACCACTAAAGTATCATTCATATAGAATGACTGACTGAGGGTCCAATAATCATTTGTCCCTTCTAATGTGATGTTCTTGATCTAAAATAGAAGTCCTTTGTACAGCAATGGATCTCCACCATATTTCCCAGATTTACATACTACTGACTTCTTTATATTGCCTAAACTCAAACTGATACTGAAGTAGCAGCATTTCAGGACTCTTCAGAATATCCAGAAATTTATGATCGCACAACTTAAATACATTCCAGAGATTGTCTTCAAAACCAGTTTTGGAGACTACTTGAAGTCGGCAAAGATATACATCAAATATGAGAGACAATACTTTTTGACAAATCCTCAACATGGCTTGCTGCAGTGACTTTAACTTGCCAGGTATCAGCAAGTCTTGGAACTTTATTGTCAAACCTTGTATAAATGTAGCCAGTACTCAGATTGCCAGATGGTATAAATATAAGTATTACAAAAAAAAAAAAAAAAAAAAAAGAAAAGAAAAGAAAAGGGGGGGAAGAGAGAGAGAAGAAGAATATTGTATATTTCCATGCATAAGCCAAGAATTTTTGGAACTTTATCTGAAGCTAAATTATGGGGGGTCAGCCTATAAATAGGTCGACTAATCTCACAAAAAACATAGGTACTTTTCCGTTAGCTGAGTGTAAGCCATATATCACTAAATAATGAACTTTATTTCTTAAGTTTATGGAAAAATTAATTTTAAATGAAATGAGTTATTTGTTTTATGCAAATTAGTTGTTTTATTTTTGAAATTATTCATAATGTTGGTTTATTGCATTGTTTCCAAAAAGAAAGGTCTTGTGCTACTGAAATTTGTGCCTGGCTTTCTCGACTCTTGAATTTTTTTTCATTTATAAAGAAATGCCAAGAAACGATTCTGTTGTAGGAATTTTCAGCAAATGCAATTATCTACAGTTTGAAATTTGCTGCATATGAATTTCTCTTCCCATTCCTTTTCTAGGTAAAATATAAAATGGCAAAGAAAGATATTAACACACACAAGGGCACCACAGATTATTTACATGACAGCAAATGAATGAGAAAAAAGTGTTAGCTTTAAATAGAGTTACCAGCATTAAAACTTATTATCGTTGGCACCTAGCATTTTATTTTACAGCAATTTGATTGGAAAACATTTCAACTGTTTTACCTGCTTGGCAGCATTTTCACTCTTATGGTGACATATCTGAAGGCTGAAGGAGTTATTTTTCTCATTTTGTCTTATAATAATTTTGGATAAATTTTTAAAGAAAAAACACACTCTAGGCTTATACATTATGGATCAATTTATATTTGGAAATCTATGGTACTTAAAAAGTAAATAAATAAAAATTAAAAACTCACTTTAAAATATTCTTATAAATTGCCTTGGTTCTTAATTTTAGATTTTTCTCATTAAGTCCATCTATATTCCATGTTATGAACTTTAATTTATTGGATGAAACTTGATTTGCAGGTTCTGCACTTGACACATCACTTAATGCAGATTCTGTAATAAGTGCTGTGGCTGCTGCGGCAAGACTTCGATCACTACCACTGGAAAAAAAACAGAGTTTAAGCATCATTTGCTTCATTTATTTCTCACTAAATAAATAAGTTAATTAAATTAAAATAAAAATTAAATAAAATAAAAAAAAATTCTGAAAGCTTTCAGATTTTACATTACACCCAAAGGGACATTTTTTTAAACGTTTTGTGTGTTACCTTTATTTATTAAATATCATGTTCTTTACACTTAAACCATAAAATTCAATTCAAGACCAATATTACAAAATAATTTTAAAATTACCATATCTTTAGAATTTCCAATACAAAGTCTCGCATGCTGGGGAAAAAATGTTCCCCCTCCCATACACTGTTGCCATTCCTCTTTGAAATCGTAGAGTTTGTTAATTAAAAAAAAACTGAAAGCTTTTAGATTTTATACTACGCCCAAAGGGGCTTTTTTTACAGTTTTGTGTGTTTTTATTAATTAAATATTATGTTCTTCACACTTAAAAACCATAAAATTCAATTCAACAGCAATATCACAAAATATTTAAAAAGAGCATAGCTTTAGAATGTCTGATACACAGTCTTGCTCGCTGGATATAATTTTTTTTTTTTTTCATACAGTGTTGTTATTGCTTGCTTTGAAATAGTTGAGTTTCTAAATCAAAACTCATAAATGTTTTACAAAATATGAAATAGATAATAAAACAAATTCCAAATTTTTGCTTCCAGAGGCCCATATTTGAGTGGAGATGTACGTTATTCAAAATTTGATGGCTCTAGGTATCGTTGTTTTATACCAATGCTAGAAACATACACACATTTATGCAGATTCTTCTTTATTTAATTTCTTTAAATATAATACCGGGCTCTAATATTTGTTGGCAACAATTTAAAGTGATTCGCCGTCAATAGTGAATCAACGCAAAATGCCCAAATGAAATTAATAGCCCTTCTGGGCAAATTGCCCCTTTGGGCTAATGACATAACAACAAGGCAAAGTTGACTTTACAGGCATAAAACCTGTAACTGCAGCAATTAAACTTCAGTTTATTCTAGAATATATACTCTAACTACCATTACACTGCACCTGACCAAATAACAGTTATAATATCAACAAATAATACCGGCACAATAAATAGAAAAGAAAATATCAAATTATAGCAAAATAATAGATAATCTATGAATTCAGATATTACTGAAAATCAATAATAAAAATCATAGAAGAATATTAATATTAGAGAAATGAATACTTTTACATATAAAATAGATAAAAAGAAAAATTTTTAAACATCAGTAATTATATTTACAGATAATTAATTATAATTATAAATAGATACATTTTATTTATTTTTAAAGACAGATCTACTGAAATGACATAATGAAATTTTAAAAGGGGAGAAATCTTCCCGTGAAGTGCAAATATAACACAGAATAAATCAATTATATTAAAACTTTATTTAGCTAAACTTGAGTGAAATGGGCCTGAATCAAGAGAATCCAGAAATCAATAATTTCCAATTTTTCTTGTTAAACAACTAGCATTTCATAAAAAGATAAAGTGCATCATGAGTAAACTAGAAACTCAGGGCACGGAACTCTGTAATACAGTTTACTTCCCCACAAATCTAAGCCGCAGTACTTTACCTCTTCAGTAGCATGCACCCAAGATTCTCGTAAAACACATTAAAGTTCAGCTTATAACTAAGCCATGCCTATGTAGTTATGCAAAATTCTGCAAGCCAATATTATTTGGATTTTATATTTTCCCCATGGTTACATAGTATGCTTCTTATTTAGGTCGTTGTACCTTTTTGTGTAGCGCTAACCTGCTCAGGGTAGTGTTAAATATTTTAACCTTTTAATTGATTGTATGGAATATGTCTTTGTAACTCAGCATATGTATGCAAATTCCAGTGTATTTTAGTGTATCAATATGAGTGATATAATAACTTAAGGATTCAACCAGTCTTATGTATACAGTCAAAAGTCGTTAATCCGGACTCATCGGGACTTCGGCGATTCCGGATTATAGATCATCAGTTTAAATCTGGTAAGATGGCATGCAGAAATTACAAAATTAAAAATATGAAACCATAATTTATGAAATAAAGAACAATTATGATCTAAAGGGTATCAAAATTTACAAAAAGAAAAAACTTAATATTTTTTTGTTTACTTTATTAAACATTTCTTTCAATGTAAGTTGCTTCGTTTCATATGATAATACTTTCCCTTTAATTCTATTAAACAGACATAATTTCTTGTTTAGTTACAAAGTTCCGCTGTTCAAGTCCTATAATTGCTGTGTTGAGAATACCGACTAATTTGTCAATCGAAATGTTTTCGTTTTCAATAACCTCTGGGTCACTTTCTTCACTATCGGAAGCGAATTTTAATGACGAGGAACTTGATTTAAATCATATCAAAGACGGAGTACATCAAGATGAAATACTACACTTAGTAAGGAATTATAAGCCAAATAAAATAAAAACATCTGCCCTGAAGATAAGGATAGTGCTGACAGATCAACTTCAAATCTGCTGTGTGAAATTGATAAACAGATTTCGGATTTCAAAACATACTTTCGCTTTGTGGATACAAATTACATATTAGTAAATATCTCGTATATCGAAAACTCTATTTGACATAATCAAAATTAAACGAGCATGCGCACAAACATATTCGCAGCCGTAAAGGTCTTATGCGCACTCTTAAACGCCTGTGCGCATGCGTGAACGCGACGCATGTGCAGAAAGTTTGTAGCTTTGAGGTCTGGATTATGGGTGTCCCAATTAACGACTTTTGACTGTATAATGTTTTACTTGCATATGCAAGTATGTTTCAATTTACCTTGAGCGCATTAACACGCCTCCTAACGAATGAATTGGTATAATTCAGTGAATCAACATCTGGTACATAGTTAAATAAAATATCTCTAGCACAGCTGTATGTATAACGACCAAAGTATTTGGATTTACAATCTAACATGTATTCCCAATTTTCTCCAGCACTGTATTAGAATTTGCATGTCTCAGTATGCATAACAGTGAATCATATTTGTATATGTTAGATGCATTGGTGCTGTATTATTTGTTAGCATTAGTATCATAGTAAATCTTCATATTGCAATACATAAGCATGAAATACTTTGTATCAAGTTTAACTATCATTTAACTGTCAAGTAAATATGCCTGTATCTGCCCATTTACTACAAAAAAAAAAAAAAAAAAAAAAAAAAGGAAAAAAAAAAAAGGACATTGTTTTATATTACACAATATACTGCAACAAATTGCTTTGCCTTGCAAAATTCATAAAATTAATCTACAGATGCATTACTGTGACAGGTTAATTATAGTTCAAAGGGATCAACATTTATATCAAACTACATGAAAAGTACCCTTTTGTTCTCGCTGACAATTTTAAGGAGGGTACTTGCCTTTCAGTAGAAAAGTCTGAATTTTCTTGCTGTCATCACAGAAGAAACATTTGTCCCTCCAACACAAGAATAATTTTTTAAATTCTTCTGGAAATGGGCATCTAAGTCCATTAAAATCAACATGCCAGAACATTTGGGTAAATGGTCTATTTTGCTGCTTTCTGATTACCCATACCCCCCAAAAAAGTTATGAAAAATATTCACGAGGCAAAGTAGTATATCGCCAAAATAGCTATGTGTCAATCGACGATGCCACCAAAAAGCACCTATGAAGCAACTCAGGTATACATATAGCATATGTTTACTTGGTTGCTGCAGAATACCAAAGCTGAACAGATGCCAAATTTGTGCAAATATTCAATTTTTTTTTTTAAGAGAAAACATATTGCTGTGCACACAGAGAGAATTGTGAATATAATTTTAACATAGAATACTCACTCTAAGACTACAACAACTTGAGCTTCCTTTTTATCATTCACCCGAACAGCTCCTTTATTATTCATATCTTCAAAAAAGTCATTTACAGATTGCTGCAAAGGAAATTTTTAAAATGTTTGTCAAAAAGCTTATCTATAAAACAAAATCTTCTGATACTAGACAGAAAACAACTCTGTGGAAGATATTTACTTTGGTTAGAATACAGTATTACAAACATTCCACAAGTATCTATCTTCAAAGTAGACTATCCAAGAGAAACTGTCTCAAAATCATATATAGAAAAATCCCATGCAACCAACTCATTTAGTTGCTGTTAACCTGATATGAGACAAATTATTACTATCTAATAGTCTCATAAAATCAGCCACTGGTGTGCAAGATTTATGTCAATTCTCCTTAAATGTATAAAATTTCAATGCTAAAAATAAAATATTTTTTGTGAAGTCTTTCTAAATTATTTTGGTTATTATATTTGTCACTGCTTCACTCTTATCACAACAGTTACCTATGTGAGCTGCTAAGTTTTACCACTGCCACAAGACGTAACTCATCTTCCACATGATCTAAAATGTGTCCAGTTTCCAGTGTTACCAATTGAAGTGACATAAGATTATTAATTTATTATTTCAAACTGCACTTATATTGCTTAAAACACTGAACAATTTAAAAGTGACATATAATTTCTAATAATTTAAATAAATTTTACTGGTAAAAAATTTAAAATGGTAAAATTTAAAATATTTAAAACAATGTACTCTTGATTATTAGTGCATAGCCGTGCCCACACATGCATACCTGATGCTATGCACGAGAATATGTAAAAAAACAAACATGCAAAAAATTTAACCCAAATGTTACCAGTTTAATTCAGCCGATGGGTAAGGTGTAATATCATAGGTGAAACTACTTTAACATTCTACTCTTCTTCTGAATCCAGCTGAGGAAGATGGCAATTAAATGAAGTTCTGTGTACTGGATGACATATGGCCCATTTTCAAATTTTGCTTCCGTATACTGTCTCGGAGGAAAAGAAAGAAAATTCAAGCATAAATTAAAATTTAAAGTTTGATTTGATCAATGCTTCGCACAGACTTTAAATCTACTTCTGCAATTAAAAATATTAAAAAATCAATTGAAATTTTTGGAGATATAAATTTAAAAAAATTGGATTGTAGGGAAAAAAAATGTCTGCCCTTTTCAAATTTACGTAATTTAAACTCTTTGTTTTGTAACCTAATTTAATTTTTTTCAAATAAAGAAGTTTAATTATGGAACTACTCTTATATGCACCCTCAAGTCGCCAAACATTTTGGGCAAGAAACTCCATGCTGCCATATTACTACCTAAATTTTTTGTCTACATTTCAAACTTTAAGCATAAAAAGTGTCTCCAAAAGCGCGGTTTTTGCATATGCAAACACCACATTTTAAAAACACAATTTAAGCTAAAAATCCGAAACAAAAACAAAAAAGTTATATAGCAAAAACAAAGTTTCTAACCAAAAATATTTGACAAGTATCCATGTACACAGTGATATGTTTCAACTTTAAAAAACATCTACGAATTGCACAATTTAGGCAGTACGCACTAATCGACAAAATAAACTAAAATAAATTTCGAACAATCCAAAAAAAACAACAATAACAACAGAAATTCATACTAAAAAGACAATGAACATAACATTCTACAAAATAAGAATAAGAGTAAAATAAAATACACTTACCATGAATGAATGCTTTTTCGAATAGCAGAAATACCAATTTCATACCACCTTTAACATGCTGCCACCTAATCACTATCCTATTTATATGACAGCCAGACACATTATCCAGAAAATTCATACTACGGTTCAAAAGTAAATGTTCAAAACCTTCTTTTCCTAAATCCTTTCCATCCATCCGAAAAAATAGTTGTACCAGGCTCAATCTACTCTTTAATATACTGCATCAGCGTTTCCCTACTTCTATCATGCACAGCCACTAAAAATAATCTTCCAGACCCTCTTTCCACACCTCCAAATACCCACTGCCCTTCAACAGGACGGCCATGATGATATTTCCTTTTGCCGAACTTTGATTCATCAACTTCCACTACTTTATCTTTCCCCCCAATCTTCTCAGATACAGAGTAGACTTGTTAACAACTCCAACATTGTACCTTTTAATACTAAATTTTCTTTGTACACAATCTAAAATATGCGACTGAAATCTTGCCACCATGTTTCTCATTTCAACAAAGGCCATGTCAAAACCCGCACATTACGAACCAACAAGCAATTAAACCACTCCATCACAAGATTTTTCAACGTCAACAGGGTTGCCATACAACATGCAATCGTGCCAAAAACCAGCGCAGAACACATATCGCCACACTTGGTGATATTAGGGCGCATATAAGAGTAGAGCTTTAATTATTTTAGATATGAACTATTAGTGAGTTACATTCATGACAAAAATTAATTACCAAAATTTTTTCTTTAGCGAATCAATAATTTGTCTTTCACTCTGTATCAAGTGAGATTATTTTATCCACAATTACTAGCTAAAGTAGTCAAAGCAACTATTTCTAGCAATTTTTCCCTCTTCATTTGAAAAGTATTGCAGTGGTTGCAATAATCAACTTTCTTCAAGTTAGTACTTTTTTTTTTTCAAGTCTGTTACCACAATTTTTAATATTAAAATAGTACTTTTCACTTTTAGATTTAAATATTATTTATTGGATAATTTTAGAAGACATTTGTATTATTATTAAAATTTCAAATTATGCAAGACAGCTTTTTTTTTTTTTTTTTTTTTTAATGCTTTGAAATGAATGTCAAATTCATTACTTGTCAAATCTGTTGCTACGTTACTGATAACAGATTTGACTTACGATAACAAACTTGTTATTATTTTTTAACTGTGATTAATAAATGTTATTTTAGCATCCAGAATAGCTTTAACACCCACAGAAAAGCTAAAGCTGAGATGCTATGAAAAAGGTTAAAACAAAATGCAGAAATATATAAACAAGACAAAAACAAAGATAAAGAAATGCAATTTTTTTTTTTATGATATTTACATCTCTTATGAAAACGTAATGAACAAAATAACTTAATAATGTTGATAAATTCATACTTATTTTGTATACAAGTTATTTAAAAAGTTCTTTCTCTTCTTAAGGAAAAATATAACAGGCAAAAAAATCAGTTACTCAGCGAAAGTTTAGAGGTATCAAAGGAAAAACTGGCATTAAAATCAAGCTGAATGTTGCTTGCAGGAAGTTCAATAGATAGTTGTAGAAACAATTCCAATTCAAAATGAACAGATTGGATCTAATTCTTTAAATGAAAATGCAGAATTTTTTTTGGGAGTGAAAAAAGAGGACACAAGAATGCTTATAGAAATCAAAGAAAACTTGCTAAAGGTAACTTGAAGTTGCAGCAGAATAATAATAATATAAAAGTCAGGTCCAGATGTGCAAGAAAAGCTGGCAAAGGCAAAATATAGCATTAAAAATGAAAGAGCCAAAAATCAAGTGCCAGACGAGCAATTAACTCCAAAAACCAAACCATAATCATATAATAGAAATAGCATTTTAAAGGAAAAATAACCAGAAATCACCCAGTTGCAAGTCAACTATTTTTTGCACAATGTTTTCAAACCTACATGTAATAGAAAGAACTTCACTTCAAAGCATAAATTTATTAATTTTTTTTAATGTAAGGATATTAGTACGGCTATAGCAGGCAAAAAGAAACGATAACACAAAAGAAAGAGAAATGACAGAAATAGTATTTGATTGATACAATGCAAAGTCAATACATAAAATTTTGTAATGAAAATTCCAATTTTTTAGTATCTTGTACAACATTAACTATATTTCACCCTTACACCTAGTGTTGAGAACATGGAATAAATGCAGATGCATTGTATAAATTTTAATTCAAAAGCGCAGAAGTTGATTAATTTAAAGGCATTACATACAAATGATCCTAATGTCATTCATTATATTCACCTATAGTGTGCAAAGTAAAATCCCTGGACTCTATGTATAATAACTGCACAATAAAAGAGTGACAGTAAATGTGCAAAACATATCATTCACTGGTATTCATGGGAAAGAGAGAAAAAATTGTTAGAATTAAATGAAGCTCTTCTACATATTTATTTCTCATAAAATTATGACTGCAAATTCAGTGAAGAAGTGTAAAGTTTACACTATGGTACATTTAAGAGTTCACGTAGCTCACCTTCATATATGTGTCCTATATATTGGTAATGAAACTATGCCCATTTCTTTTTATACAACCAGTTATGGCCACAGCCTAGCAGCAATATGGGCCAACCTGAAGCCAGTATTGGAATTGTTAAAATTCAAGGCACCTAATGTTTCAGACATTAATTTCTTTTTTTTTTTCCTGATGGTCTTTCTACACAGTATCACCAAAAAAAGAATTTTTATCTGTTTGCACATTTGCTATTTGATCATGGCTTACAGGATGCACTCTGTCGCATTTTGAAACTGACCAGGGTAAAGGAGCTGCTGATGGCATAAGGACAGTTATAAAATAATGGCTAATTGTTTGATATCTTATGGAGAAGACAATTTTTATGTCCACAAACTTTATGTTTCAGACATTAATTTCTTTAATCACTAATAAAATATATCCTTAAGGACAAAATATTCTTTAAAAAGATCTATTCTAGTTTCCAGAGAGTGAAACATCCATTGACTCTGAGTTTTATTCTGAAGCAGATAAAATGCCTGTGGACACATCTCTGGAGGTGTTCATGTTTTGGTAGTATATTTTATTAGAGTGAAGAGGGGAAAAAAAGCCCTGAAATAAAAGAATGGCTAATTGTTTGATATCTTATGGAGAAGCCAATTTTTATGTCCACAAACTTTATGAAAAAATTCAAGGAAAAACTGTTGGTAAGGTTTTTTTTTTTTTTTTTCATTGAGAATTATGGCATTCATTCAGTGTAAAAACTTTTAGCATCTGAAATACTTCTTTCTGGAACATTTAACATCAAATAATTTCTAATGCCAAAGGAAAATTATTTATAGGAATGTCAGCTTTTATTGAAAGAAAAAAAAAAAAAAAAAAAATGTTAATGCTTTCCTATAGAAAGTACTTTCAAAAGCATTCTAAATAAAATAGGAAACCTTAACACAAAATATTCTCTAAAAAGATCTATTCTAGTTCCTCAGAGAGTGAAACATCTATTGACTCTGAAAGTGAGTTTTATTCTGAAGCAGATAAAATGCCTGTGAATACATCTCCGGAGGCGTTCATGTTTTGGTAGTATATTCTATTAAGGGAAGAAAAAAAAAAAAAAAAAAACCTGAAATACACATATGCTGCAGTGATTCAAAACAAAATAGATGAGAAGAGCAAAATTAAAATTTTGCATCATAACACTTTACCAACCTACCACCTATTAATCGGCTTTTTTCGTCAATGCCTAACGACCGATAGCCTATTAATCGCTTTTTTCCTCGAGACTACCTAAAAACAGCCTATCAATCAGTAGCCATGGCGATAAACAACTGCCATTTGCCATATCATCTATATTTTATTATAAGTATTGAGGTACATAGCCCACTTGTGTTAAGTGCGTTGCTTTGTAAACTCCCCCCTTTTCACACCCTTTTTAAAAAATTTACCATTCACGATGAGCGAAAAAAAATGGTACTGGATAGTTTTATCCACATGATTTATCAGATTGCCTTGACACTTATTCAGAACAGGGAGAATGTGCGGCTGAGCGGCCGGTCAGACGTGCATATGCTGTTCAACCGCTAGCGATTGGTAAAGTGTTAAAGCAAATGACTGCAACAAGAGAATATTTCATAATGATGAAAATGATATAATGCACATTAATTTTGAACAAATTACAGCAGAGGAAACAATATTTATAGGTTTTCACTTATACTTAATACAGATGGAAAATGAAATTTGAGTTGTTACATTTAGATATATGATATGAACTCATATTTTTTCATATATTAAAACCTTAGTTACTTGAAGTGTTATTTTAACATGAAGTGTTATTTATTATAT